AGTAGCTGGAACTACAGGCATGTGCTACCACGCCCGGCTAATTTTTTGAATTATTGTAGAGATGAGGTCTCGCCAAGTTGCCCAGGTGGGTCTCAAACCCGTGGACTCAAGCAATCCCCTCACCTCAGCCTCCCAAGGCGCAGGATTACACGCTGAGCCACCGAGACCGCCTACATTTTCTTTCTTTCTTTTTTTTTTTTTTTGAGTTGGAGTCTCACTCTGTCGCCCAGACTGGAGTGCAGTGGTCGCTCCCGGCCACCGCAGCCTCGACCTGCTGGGCTCTGGCGATCCATCCGCCTCAGCCTTCCGAGTAGCTGGAACTACAGGTACGTGCTACCACACACGGCTAATTTTTGATTTATTGTAGAGATGAGGTCTCGCTGCCCAGGCGGGTCTCGAACCCGCGGGCTCAGGCAATCCATTCATGTCAGCCTCCCAAAGGCGCGGGATTACAGGCTGAGCCACCAAGCCCACCTACATTTTCTTTCTTAAATTGATAATGATAATAGTGTATTATTGGTCAGGTCTGAGACCAGCCTGGGCAACTTGGTGAGACCTCATCTCTACAATAAATCAAAAAATTGCGGGCCTCTGCAGCTGGGGCGCCAGCGGAAGTGGGGGCACCGGCAGCTGCGAACCTCGCCAGGACAATGCAGACTCCACTGACCATTCCTGTGCCTGTGCCTGTGCCTGTGCTCCGGCTCCCCTGGGGTCCTGACGGCCTGAGCTGTGGCTTTGCCCACGATGGACGCAGAGCCGCCCTGAAGCCAGAGGTTCCTGCAGTCCAGGAGTGCCCCAGAGTTCAAGGCTCTGGGGAGTCCCAGGAGCAGTGGGCCCAAACTGCCCTCCGGGAGCGCTACCTCCACAGCCTGCTGACCATGGTGCGCCATCAGGTGAGCTTCACATGGCACGAGGGTGTGCATGTGGCTGCCCACTTTGGAGCCACCGATCTGGACGTGGCCAACTTCTACGTGTCACAGCTGCAGACTCCCATAGGTGTGCAGGCTGAGGCGCTGCTCCGATGTAGTGACATCATTTCATACACCTTCAAGCCATAAAGACATTGTGTTCCCCTTTCTGCTTTTGGCTTAGCTACAGCGTCCCAGGCCTCCAAATATTCCTGAGCCAGGAACTCTGGGTCGGGATGGTTATGAGCTCCCTTGGACTTTTCAGTCAAGCTCCAGGCAACTCTGGACTCCTGAGACCTCCCAGGTCTAATCAGTAAAATTCTGCAACGCTAAGAATTCTAGATCCCATTGAAAGGAATGCTCTACCTCAGAACTCTGAACTCCACTGCACACTCTGTTCCAAACAGCCTCATACAAAGGTGATGATACAGAAATATGGGCCGGACGCCATTTCCTGAAGACTCGGGCAGGGAGGGGGATATTAGGATGGGAAGTTGTTTATGGAAGAGGAAGAGGTTGCAAAGCTCAGCCACCCTAAACAGACTCCCAATGCTCCCCTCCTGCTAAAGAACCAATCATCCCAAGAAAAATTAAAAAAGAAAATAAAATAAATCAAAAAATCGGCCGGGCGTGGTAGCGCGCGCCTGTAGTTCCAGCTACTCGGAAGGCTGAGGCGGAAGGATCGCCGGAGCCCAGCAGGTCGAGGCTGCGGTGGCCAGGAGCGGCCACTGCACTCCAGTCTGGGCGACAGAGTGAGACTCCAATTCAAAAAAAAAAAGATTGGAAAATGTAGTTTATTTAAAAAGCAAATTAGAGAGAGAGAGGGGAGATTCACCTCTCCAAGGTAGGAGAGGAGACCAAAGCTTACAAAACATGGCAGCGGTCATAGCTCAAAAAGGACATGACCAAACCAGAGTCCAGTAAAGCAAGGGCCATTTTTTTTGACTTGGAGTCTCACTTTGTCGCCCAGGCTGGAGTGCAATGATGTATTCACAACCACTGCAACCTCGACCTACTGGGCTCAAGCGATCCTTCCACCTCAGCCTTCCAAGTAGCTGGAATTACAGGCACACGCCACCACGCCCAGCTACTTTTTTCATTTATTGTAGAGATGAGGTCTCACCAAGTTGTCCAGGCTGGTCTCAGACCCGTGGGCTCAGGCAATCCTCTCACGTCGGCCTCCCAAAGTGCTGGGATTATAGGCATAAGCCACCGTGCCCGGCCTTGTTGTGTACATTTTGCCACAATTAACAAGAAGAAGAAGGAGGGAAGGAAAGTGTCAGATCGTGTAAAGCTTTGTGACTATGGTGAGGATCTGTGTCTTAAGTGATTTCTCTGCATTGTCTGTAGTTTTACAAAAATAGATTATGTATTATCTCTGCAATTTAAAAAAATTAACTTGCCATTACAGAACTCCAGGCAAGGGGTTATATCAAGGACAGAGAGTCAAGCCCTTAAATTTAGAGCTGGAAAAGTCAGGCCAGATGAGAGGCAGGGCACCTGTCAAGGCTCCGGCTCTCAGCCAGCAGTACAGGGTCAGAGCCCAGCTGCCACTGTCTTGCCCGGTGGATGAATGCAGGAGCAACTGCCATGGGGGAAGCAGAAGGAATCAGACAACAGGCATCAATTAAGCGTGTGCTACAGGCAAGGTCTTCCCTGGGTGCCCAGGGATGGACAGGCAGGTGCATGAGGAGCTGGCCAACCTCACCTTCAAAGAGCTGGTTCCCAGGTGAGAAGATAAGGCTCTAAGAAAGGTACCTGGCAATACAAGGTGATAAGGGGTCCCTCTGTGTTCTGAACACACCCATGTTCTACGCTTATCTTTGTATGTTACAGTCATTTATTTACAGGCCATTTTAGCAGGAGACTGGGGACTCCTTGAGGGCATTCATTCATGCAGGCGTTTATTGAACTACTGTGTACCCAGGCATGATTTGAGACAGTTGTATAGAGTAGCTGCTTGAAAAATGGACATTGCAGCCGGGCTCAGTGGCTCAGTCTATAATCCCAGAGCTTTGGGAGGCCAAGATGAGTGGATTGCCTGAGCCTACAGGTTCAAGATCCACCCAGGCAACTTGGTGAGACCTCCTCTCTACAATAAATAAAAAATTAGGATCCCTTCTCACTGTGGGAGCTTCGGATCCCTTCTCACTGTGGGAGCTTTTCTATCCTCTTAATAAATCCTACTTTCAACAAAAAAAAAATTAGCTGAGTGTGGTGGCACACGGCTGTAGTTCCAGCTACTTGGAAGACTGAGGCGGAAGGATCGCCGGAGCCCAGCAGGTCGAGGCTACGGTGGCCGGGAGCCGCCACTGCACTCCAGCCTGGGCAACAGAGTGAGACTCCAACTCAAAAAAAAAAAAAAATGAAACAGGTAGGCCGGGCATGGTGGCTCAAGCCTATAATCCCAGCACTTTGGGAGACTAAGGCTAGGGGATTGCCTGAGCTCAGGGGATGGAGACCAGCCTGGACAACTTGGTAAGACCACATCTCTACAATAAATCAAAAAATAAACTGGGTGTGGTAGTGCACGCCTATAGTTCCAGCTACTTGGTTTTTTGTGTGTTTTTTTTTTTTTGAGTTGAAGTCTCACTCTGTTGTCCAGACTGGAGTGCAGTGGCCGCTCCCAGCCACCGTAGCCTTGACCTGCTGGGCTCCAGCGATCCCTGCAC